CAACAGCGGTATCAACTGTGTCATCTGGTCCTCCAAATACTCAAACGCCTCTAAGGTCTGGTTCAATCTGTTTGGGAGTTGGATACACTCTCAACTTTCTTTCCTTTGTAATCGATCTATTTTATTGTGCTTTGTTTTCATGAGACGTGGATACCAATCTCCCAATCTCTTGTCAGAAATATGCTAATATATATCTCCTTGAAGTTTTGTTCCTGGCTTTGACCTCACAGCGAGGTATTTGAATCCGCATTTCTTGATGTTCTCGAAAGTTCCAAAAGGAATAAGCGAATTCCCCAAAATGGACCGAATGAGAAAGTGGGAAACTGGGAAAATCGTCAATAAAAATCAATGAATTCCTGATGCTAGTAAGTGTGGAATAAGGGCGGCATTTCTTCATCGTAAAAAACCATTACTCGGTCTAAAGAAAAGATCTGAGAACTCCATTCAAGAAGAGCTAATGCTGAAGTGCATAGTGATAACAGTAAGATCGTTTGATGATTTGGCTTCTTTGCGAAATTATTTGCTATTTCTTGCCTGAGGTTTGATTTATTGTATAATGCGATGGTCGCCAGTGATCCGTCACTGAAGCAAACTCTGGCCTCCTGAACCGCTATATGTAAGTGGCTTTGGCTAAGCCCCATTAGTATGATGGGCCCAAATCGGGTTTCGTCTTTTGACGAAATCCGATATTTATGATAGCTGCTAGTGTAGTAATACAACATTAAATAAATAAAATGCTGTTTTCAGTACAAAATAGGTTTCTATGTAACTTTTATTCTGACTACGGAAAAAGCCTAGAGTATGCTGAACGCAGATTGTATCTACTGCAATCGGCACTGTTGATTGCCCTTCAAACACGGCTTCTTCTCGGGCATGGGCAGTATGCAGCATCTGATCCAGGAGCTCCACTGATTCCAGGCTGTCCTGGTGCTCCTGGACTTCCTGGTCTCCCGTTGTTACCTGGTCGACCAGGTGGTCCTGATGGTCCTGGTGCACCGACTCCATAGCTACTGCCGTTCTGACCAGGCGAACCAGGAGCTCCTGCAGGTCCTGGGGCACCGGCTGGACCGGGATAGCTTCTTGATCTGGTTCCTGGAAATGTTGCAGAATAGAGAAAAAGCTTGTTGTATTAATACCAGCATTTCGACAGTTCTTACCTGGTGCTCCGGGCGCTCCATCTTGTCCTGGTGCACCGGGGTTTCCGTTTTGTCCAGGTGCTCCCGGAGGTCCAGGAGGTCCTGCGGGGCCTGAAATACCGTAATTCGCTCAAATGATATTCAAGAGGACGGATTCATTACGAGTTTGACCTACCTGAACCGCCACCTGATCCGTCTTGCCCTGGATTTCCTGGGGCTCCTGCTGGACC